AAAGTTCCTAAGGAGATCAAATAAATTTTTTTAGAGCCCTAAAACAAAATGTGATTTTGATTATTTTTAATAATTGAGTCCTACAACCCTAATAAATCTTTCTATATACTTCTTCAAAGTTTTTTTATTTTTTAAAAAAAGTACTTTTAAACTGTATAAATAATGCAAAATTAAATAGAATTAAACAGCCAATCATGCGAAAGTCTTCTTATGAACTTATCATCAGTACGTACGTGAATGTAAATACCCGGACATTTTGCACGATAATTTACGATAAAGTTATAATTTAATTAGCGTTAAACTACTTATTAGGATCCCTCTCAGAGATAATTGAGATAATTGACAAAAAATTAGACATTCGTAGTTTACTTTCGTTTCACTAAATAATCAATAACATAGGATTAAATATTATATTTATTATTGTATAAATCAATAAGAATTTATTAATATAGATCAAATTTCGCCAATCTTAACAAGAGTAAATGCTAAATACAAATAAACAAATTATAAAACTAATTTTCCAAAGAGAAATTTCTATTTGTACACGGGGTGTATGTACACGGGCAATATAGATATCTCAAAATTTTGATTATGAAACCACCTTTTGGCTTCTAACAAAAAAAATTCCTTGTGAGATTTTGGTATAGTCTATATCTTGCCTAATTCCAAACCCATCTTTACCCTAACCATAAGAGAGAGTTTAATTTTTCGTTTGTAAAAATTGTTTTGAACTTATATCCGTGTATAAACACTATGTGTAAACTAATAAATTTTCTTTTCCAAAAATAATAAATTAACTTTTGATTTCATCCAAAACTTTTTTAATGGCGTCCCTATTACGCAACCTATTCCACCAATTTTTAACATTAGGCCTGCTATCCCATAATTTAGAATGTGCCTCCATACTATAGATGTAATGAGTACTAGGGGTGTGGAAGAGATCAGCTAAAGAAAATTCGCCATTCAAATACTCTTTTCCCTCCAAAATCTTCTCATAAACATCTAAAACCTTAGCAAGTTCTTCACGAGCTTGCTTAATAACTTCTTGGTCCGGGTCTTTATTAAATTTTTTTTTAGCGGATATTTCTTGCTGCACGAGTTTTGAGAGCGGTGGGTCAGAATAAAATGATTCATAAGAAATGCATTGCGAGATTAATTTTTTAGCGTATATTTCTTGATGTACGATTTTTGTGATCGCTGGGTCATAATAAAATGATTCATAAGAAATGCATTGCGAGGCTAATCCGGCTTTATGAACATCGGTAGGAATCAAGATTGTAGCATTATGTTTGCCTTGGTATTTAGATGCTAGGTAACGACAAATTGCACGAGATTCGTTAATGGTAAAATCTCCATCAATAAGGACTGGGATTTTTCCACTGTTACAACTTGTTAGTAATCTAATTTACTATATATATAAACATCTATGACATGTAATAGATAATACTTACAATGGGTGTTTATTATCGAGAAAATCATCAGTTTTTATAGCTTGACGATCAGCTGGAACTTCGAATTCGTAAGGAAGTCCTAATTCCTTAAGGGTCATACTAACCCTAAGAGTAGGACCTGAGCCGGGATGTCCAATGAGTTTAATGGTCATTTTTTTAACCCCAAAGATTATTTAAGATGAGAAAGGCGAAATGGGCGTGTATTTAAGCGTATTCACTTTACTATTAGTACGTACGTAATACGTACAGTACGTACGTCCTAATTAGCCTTTAGATTTCTATATTTGTACACTATACAAGACTTTTGTACATTGACTACGTATTTAAATGGTACAATAAAACAATACAATTGAACCAAGAAGTTCCTTATCTAGTCATCTTTTTAAGTTCAAAAACATTATTTATCATGGCTTTTAATTTTAACAGGAACAGCAGAACAGCGTGCAATAAAGTTTATAGTTGAATGGTTAATGAAATGGTGTGTGTATTTCTCTGCATTTTTTGGATGACCCTCCTCATAACTTTTCTTGGAATTTTTATATTTGTGTGCTGTGTATATGTCGTAGGTAGGAACAGAATTTAATTGATTCGGAATTTTTAAGGTTAGGGTTGGGATTAGGGATGCCGTAGAATCTCAGAGCATTGGGATAAGCCGCATCGTAACTAAGTTATAACTTGCTGTGGCATTTTGTTTTAAGTCACGGCATGTCGCAAGATTCGTATGTACCGTATTATTATGATCATACCGTAACTATTTTATGCAGCGCAACACGATTTTATATGCGTAACTCATAATATGCTATATTTGTGATATGCTATGTATAATTTATACGTACATATTACATTTTTATTTGCATCGTACAGTACATACAATAAAAACATACGCAAAGTCTATTAAAGAATTATTCTTTCTCATTAAATATTTGTGCTACTAATCTTGCTGGATTATAATCATGGTTTCCCGAAGCCGACCATCGAGCCATATTATTTGAGACCTTGTTTTGTTCTTCAATAAATGAATCATTATTACTGATAAAAGCCGGGTTTGAAAGATCGATAATTTCTTCAATTAACAAATCATCGTCATTTATTTCATCTAGTTGTATATGGTTGGATTCGGAAATAGGATTGAACGAATCAGATAATTCATTATCAAATTGCTGTTTAGTAAATTCTAATTAGCTTGCATTAACGGTTGAACCATTTACATTATCTCTCAAATCAAATTCAGACAATTCTTTACCGTAAAATGATAATTCCTCTTTAATATTGGTATAATAAAAGCTCTAATTTTAGCTATCGCTTCTAACCGAAATATGTTAAGCCTTATTCTTTGATCTCCAAGTAGCCATTTAAGAGTGGAAAGATTTCTTTTGCATACTGCTTGTGATGGCGGAATAGAAAATATTTTAATTGCAAGTTCAGATAATGGCTCTTTCTGAGCATCGATGCTAAGCCACCACTTTAATAGAGATTCTTTTTCTTTTTTGAATGGTTGAGCATATGGTTTTTCTTTGCGTTTGTAAGCACGAAGTTCAGTCAGTAGATCTTCACATGATGCCTCGTTATAACCTAAATCTTGTCACATACTTGCTGCAGTTTCACAAATCTCATAGAATTGATCTCGTTTTAACCCAATGCCTAAATAAAAAAAAAATTGAATTAATATATATACTGTGTATTTTAATACATATAATATAAATAATACCAAGGATTATTACCTTGGTATAACAGATTGTTATGGGCGGAATAGCTGCGACTCGGTTGCTCCACAATCCAAAAACTCATGTAACCTGCAGGTAGTAACCTTACGAAAAAGGTGTGTTAGATTTGGCTGGTGGGTGATTTAAGGTTTCGGTTACTCTGAGTCAGCAATGCTAGGTCATGTGAACAAGGGCTTAACGAACGACAAATTATAACTTTAGGGTTCAAAAGTGTATTTGCGCAATAGTATTTTTATACA